CGGTAGAACACAATCTGTACAGCTTCTCTACACCATAATTCACGATCAATAAAAATTGAAGTTAAATTTTTAACTACAGCTGTGGAAAATCTTGTCTAGACTCATTTAGGCATGATCTAGTTCACTAACACACATAAATCAATAGAGCTCTATTCGAATTTACAAGCGAGTGCAAGTTTTAGGCATATTCCACGCTGATCGTGTGGGCGGAGTCCTTTGAACAATTGCGGCTTTCTTGTTGGTGGACCTCTTCGCTCAAGACTACGAAAAGGAGTGACGCACCAATGAAGAAAGCGCAATGATCTTAGTGACGCCACCCACACCATTGGCGCAGAGCATGCCTTTAATCCACGAATCAACCCCTTCTTCCAAAGCACTTATGGTATGGTGCTGGAATAGAACAGGAAATAATGTAACCCATGCCATACATACAGATTTTCTGCATCAACTTCACAAATTGATCGCATGAGCCGAGACCGCTTCGCGACCGCACGCGTCTTAGACTCGCTGTTTCATACAGAAGAAGCAAAATGACATGGACTACGTAAGAAATGATCAAACCAACCAAGGATTATTGAGTTTCTTCAATGACTATGGAAATAATTTACAACATGTTTACTAGTAAGCACTGAGGTACGGAGTACCCATTAGACCGTCGTCCTCCATTTGGTCATTATTTACAACACTATGTGCAAATTCATAGAATTATCTGCTTTCAGTATGGTACAATATTGTATGAAAAGTAGGCAATAATTATCGATTAGAAACTCGTCTCCCTGTAGGTTTGATCGTCACTGGATGATGGTGTGTAGATGTCATCCTCTCCTTGACTGGTACTTTGTCGTCGTCGTTCAAGCTCTTCCTGTTCCTCACGATACTCACCAGTCATTCTTTTCCTGAAGACCTTCTTTAGCTAGAAAATCAGTGGAAATTCGCTTCAGCGCACGAAAGCTTCTACATCACGAAAAGAAAAAGGCGCTTTGGCGCTCACCCTTGCAGCGGATTCCTCAAGCAAAAAGCCGTTGCTGATCAGAAGGCAAGCTCCCTGATATGTATAGCCAAGCAGCAATTTGCACGATCTTGGAATTCCCTGCGCGGCATTCGCCACCAGGGGACTGCTAGATCCGCGGCTGCCCGACGCGCTAACAGTTGCAGGGGGAGAAGAAAAAATAGGATCACTACAATGTCCAATGGTATTACCCGTGGCGCTGACTTTCTCGCGCACGACATAGGCACATGAAAGCATGCTGCGGCCATGGAGTCTAGCTCAGTAGTAACGACTCTCCACATCAATAGTGAACAAGTGATGCCACCCATGCTATCGGGCGCGGTATGAGCCTTTCATTCAAGAATCAACCCCTTCTTCCAGAGCAATTTGGAAATTTCTAGAGAAGAACAAGTAAAAAACGTGCGGCCTATGTCGCACTGCTACAAGCAGAGACGCCTTCCGCGAACCTTTCTGGGGACAATGGCACGGCAGTCCGCTGTGATAACAATTCCTGAAAAACACGATCTGCCTGACTGTCCATTCCTCGAATACGACCCTCACGCCCATCCTACCTACCACTTCAAGATTTACACTTCTATACTTGTTCCAGTTTTTCTCCGAAAAATTCTACTTTTTCCCCAAATAATGTTGCTGCTTGCAGCGGGTCTGCGCCGGCGCGCCGACCCGTGATCCGCGTCATTATAGCCTGGACTGAGGCGGGGCAGAAACTATCTACCTAATTTTTCAACTATCGGAACAAGGTAGGTTGTATAGTCTTTCTGGCAGTGCGGCCAACTGGGGGGGGGGGGACAAGAAAATCGACTATCAAATAATTTTTTCTTGGACCATTTACGACCCCCCCCCACGTTGTGGTCATCACAGCGATGGCGTGCCATGTCTGGGATGCGTGGCGCGCCTAGCGAGCTCCACCAACGGGGCGCGCCATGCTGTAAATCGCTCCAGGTAAGAGAAGTCACGCCACCCGCTACGACTAACCCTGTACAATCGATATCAATGCTATTAAAGATAATTGCACCGTAAGTGGATGGGCAAAGACTCACAACCACTATGCCCCTCTCATGAACGCCCTTTTATTGACTGGAATGAAAACTCCCATATGAGGAAGGTATGGGCGTTGTGAGTCGCCGCCCATCCTTTCATGGTGGAATGTGTCTTCAAAAGGCAGTGGACACAGTTGCTCTGCCTGGGTGGTTCTTGCCAACGTCATTGTTGGAAGGGCTGCGAGAGAGCATTTGGCCACCCCCTCCATCCCTTCCACCAATGATGTTGGTGACAAGCGCCCGCCCACATGATCGTGCCCACTGCCCTTAAGCGCTAATGAGTGCTACACGTCTTCTTTAAGAAGAATCCACGCTGTTAAAGATCTTGCAAAACTAAATAAAAATAAACGCCGAAAAAGTGAAGCAATTGGATCACTGCCAGCACTGACAACAATATCATCAGGATTTTCCACCAACTAATCAACAATAAGCAATCAGAGACTATTATCAGCCACTGCAAGCCACACGAACACGATCACGGTCAACTGAAAACATACTTTGGCGTCTCGTGCCAAGTATCTTCAAATTCAGCAATGAAGTTCAGCAAATGCGATCTAAAATAGTACGAAACGTGCTTTTTAGTGGAAATTAAACAAAAAGATCCGAGCAAATTTAGGCACTTTATCAAACAAGGATGTGACTCGTCAATCACACACTGGTGTTAGTGCGAATAGTTTCTGTTAGTATAAAGTACTACTCTAAGGAATGTAAAGAAAGGACCGTTCACATCTGAATGCAAAAAGGGGCGTTCCTAGGATGCAGTTGCGAGTGCGGCGACGGCTAGGAGGGTTCAGACGAAAGAGAGACAGAGACTTGTGAATATACACAAGTTTCTGCCACACTTTCGCGAGATAAGCTGCCATCGCCGCGCCCTCAGTTGCGGACCTGAGAACCCCCTTCTGCATTCTGACATGTACGTTACACGGTACCAACGGCACATTAACATAGGGGTTGTCTGAAAACTGAAAACCGCCGTGTCTAAGGAAGTTGTCCCATGTGCAAGAGTTGCCGCTACGCAACCGCACGCTCGATTGTCATATGGATCAAGGCCATCGCAACCAGCTTGAATAACTGGCACTACAAAAGCATCAGAAGACTAAAAAATTCACGTGCCAGCCCTCATAAGTTGAGAGTTTAGATAAGTAAATGCACATTCAAATGCCTTCGAGTTTCGAGTGCAAGTCGTCTGCGTAGCGCATCTCCAGAACGTCTT